AACCGCCCTCCCCTGCGGCAGGTCTAGAGCCTGCCTGAGAAAACTATTCCCGTCGAGGATGGGCAGAGAGATCCGTCTTTCCATCCTGGTCTAAGCTCTATTTTAGGAAGTCTCAATTTAGCCGCCCGCTGCGTTAGATCTCATCGCCGCCGGCGGCCTTGCAGCGGGGAGGATTGTAACGGGCCTTTTCAGCGCGCGGCTGACGTTTCCTACCCTACTTGGCACGGCGTGAAATAAGATTATTCGGCTTACTTCGCCATCTGGTCCGATCGCCGGAGTCTGCCCTTCCGCGTTCTCTGCCTTCTGAAAGAGGAGGAAGACGGTTGTTAGCGACCCAGCGCCGAAGGAAACGACAAAAATCGGCGCCGCCGCGAAGACGTTATTCCAGCTCCCGGCGGAGCTTCGCTTTCAACGCACCTTCTTTTTCTTTTTCTTCTTCTTCTCCTTGGCCACCTGCGCGGCTTTGTGCTGCCGCACCAGCTCCGTCAGGTTGGCTACGTACTCGTCCGTCTGCTGCAGCAGGTAGGCCAAGCGCTTGTCCTTCTTCTGATCGATGAGCTTGCGGTACCCCTCCTCATCTTCAGCCTACGGGAAGGAGGATCGTTAACGCCCCGCTAAGCGAGACGAGCCCTCCGTGCGCACCCCGAGCGCGCAACGGCTCACCGCGCGCCCAGACCGCTCCCCGCGCCGCTGCTTACCATCAAACGGCGCATTCTCTCCTTCTCGATCCTCTCGTTTTCCTTCTTCTGCTCGCGCTCCGTGTTGGCGTGGTAAGTAGCCACCGCCTTGGTCAGCTTTTGAATTTTGCCTGTGACGGAGCGATGGTATTCCTTGAAATCTTTAGCGTGCTGGAGAATGCTATTGAGGTATTCCTGCGGGGGAAAGGAGACAAACAGGCAGCGTCAGGACTCATGCATGTAGGCGTCCTGCTAAGTTAATACATCTAACGCCAGAAGCTACGTGAGATTGACCTCTCTCCTATTTAATGGAATAGAATATTCTGGTTGGAAGGGACCTACAACGACCATCTCGTCCAAACAACGACCATCTCAGCCAAAGAGCATCTTTCTCTAATCCCCGAAAAAAAGGGAATTCCCGAAAAAACGTTCAGCCCAGCCAACTCCAGCCACCCAGTTCCCCCGGTGCCCCTGAAACCGGCAGGCGCGCCACCGCGCGCGCCCC